TGCAGCGTCACTGCCGCGGGCAGGCTTTCCTCGTCGCCGGGCGGCTCTGAGGGAGGGGGGACAGCGCGCAGGCTTGTCGGCTGCTGGGCAGACCCGCCACAGAGACTGCCGACTGTATTGTTTATGCCGCTCACAACAACGAACCCTCAGGAGCGCAAACTGGCACAGCCTAGTTCCAGAAAGAGCATTCTGTAAACTCGTTAAAAAGCAAAGGCTCGCTGGGAAGTGTTTCTCTCTCACCATGGTATATAGGAGGTGGACACATTTTCTTAGGAAATGCAAAAGGGCTAAGAGACGTCAGAGGATCTTCAGGAAACGCCTGAGGGCTTATTTGCGCTCACTTTAGGAACTTGTGTCTATTTGCAGTTTGTAAGGAGGTGGCCATTTTTCCGCTCCCTCGGTTAATTTTAAGGTCTCCCTGTGGATAAGCATCTGCTTTCTCTTTTTACATCTGAAGAAGTCAGGTCGTCCTGGTCCTTGTTCCTATGAAGTGTTCCCGTCGCCTTGAACACAGCCCGTACGTTTCCCTTCTCTCCAGAGGGACCCCTGTGTGCCCCCGGCTGGTCAGGGCACGGCACAGGTGGAAGGATGCTCAGGGTCTGCTCTGTGCCCTGGGGCGCCATTCCCTTCATGGAGGAAGATGACTCCCTTTTACTCGGCATATAGTTTCCAAATGCCGTCTGTGCCTGAGAGTCTTTCCTCCTGCTGCTTACACACTCGTCAGAAACCTTTGGCTTCCTGAATCAAACTCAAAATCGCTTGGCAAAAACTCTGAAACACCAGTTTTCCCTCATAAGCCCTTGCACATTCCTAATGGTCGATGGGGGTATGGGGCTGTTTACACGCTTGGATTTGACGCCTGTATTTGTAAACTAGTTTCCCAGGTTCTTTGACTGTAACTGGGTCTGTCTGGGCCGTCTGGGGACCCCCGAGTTAACAATCATGACACTGACTGTCACATGGGAGCTCGCAGGCTTCAGGCGAGGCTGGGCCGTGTCCGGAGACATCTGTGGGGTGTGGGCCCCCGGGGGGGAAGCCTGCAGGGAAGCCTCCGGTTCCCCAGGACTGGGCCCTGTCCAGGGGGAGGGTCCTCGCCCTCTTCCCTTCCTGAGCCTGGAAGCGACAGCTGTCCAATGAGGGAGCAGGCGGAGATGGTTGTCACAGTGAGCCCTCGGTGCTTTTGCTGACGTGGTGAGTCTCTGTAGCCTGCAAATGTGTGAGGGAGTTCCACTCTCACCACCCTGCTCAGTGGGTCTGAGTTATTCCTTTCAGGTTTCTTTGTTACATCTACCCCCTCCCCCCTTTGGCCCCCGACCCTATTTATTTCATTTCCTCCTTCCGGGTCCTATTGGCAGGTTCGTGATTATGTGCCATCACTAAGAAGGAGCTTGCCAGACACGGGGTGCTGCCATGGGGTGTCTGGAGAAAGGGCACTCTTGTTTTCCCCATCCTGGCATTGCGAGTGGATGCTCTGTCTGCCCCTCCTTCCCCCCGATTGGTCTCCCGCAATGCACTCAGCACTGCCCTGTAACGGAGCATCGCTGTGTGTGTGATTGAGGAGCGAACCATAGAGTTAATGGTGTTTATGTCCCTGCTTATAAATGAAAAATGCATTTATTCTTACAGTGACTCATACGCAAAGGAGGAAGATCATTTTTATTCTAACCCTTACCACCTCCATTCTTCACAAAGCCGCGCCGTTGTTGTTTCAGAGTGAGTCATTGGCTCAGATTATTTCGCTTCATGATCATTTGCCTTCACTGTTTATGGGGGAAGTGCAGGGCAGTGAAGACCCTGAAATTTAACATAACAGGTTTGCTGTGATTCTGGAGCACAGGAACCCACGAGGATGCAGCATCAACGAAGCAAGGCCCCTTTCGCTTCCCGCCGGCGCTCATTGCCGACCTTGCTGCGATGTGTAAAGAACAGTATCCGTACACTTAAGCTTCCACAGAACACCAGCACCAGGCCCAGGCCATGCTGCAGTGATGGGTCCTGAGCCACAGTTAACGGGCTTTTTTTATTTTTATTTTTTAGTCTGTGCATCCATTTGCAGGCAAAATGTTAACAGATGACTCAAATTGTTTTGATATGGAAAAGGATTCTCCACTTTTCATTCCCAAGGCCTCTTGGTTTTGATGTTTCTGCTACATCTTGTTAGTGTTGTTTTGGTTTTGTTTCTTAAGGAAAGCTAATCTTTCCCCAAAGAATGTCCTGTGGAAAAAAACAGAGACAGAGACTAGCCACCCGATAATGAAACCCAGATTTCCTATCTGAAATGTGTAAGAAGTTAATTTAGTCCCAGGGTATGGTCCAAGGAACCGGTTTTACGTCAGATGACAGCGTGTGAGGTGGGCAGCCTCCGGCCATGAGAACAGGGCTGCTGGCAGGACTGACCCTGGGACGTCAGCATCTAATGGCAGAATAATTCTGTCGTAGTCAATGACCAAACACATTCCCTGCATGGTGTCCGGTAATATGGCACCCAGCAAACAGTTCCACCGTCACGTGTGAAGATCGAAGCTCACATCATTGTTTTTCCCTAAAGATTTGAGAAGATGCCCAGCAGGCATGGCTCGGTGGTTGAGCATTGACCTATGAACCAGGAGGTCACAGTTCGATTCCCAGTCAGGGCACATGCCCAGGTTGTGAGCTTGATCCCGGTGTGGGATGTGCAGGAGGCAGCCAATCAATGATTGTCTCTCATCATTGATGTTTCTATCTCTCTCTCCCTCTCCCTCTCCCTCTCTGAAACCAATGCATGTGTGCGTGTGTGTGTGTGTGTGTGTGTGTGTGTGATTTGAGAAAATTGCCATTGGAACTGGGAAAACAGCCTCCCCTCCTTGGCAATGCTTCATCTTCCACTCGTTGCCTGGAAGCCCTTCTTCCCCTCCGATGCGCAGGAGCTGACAGTGATAACAGACGCCCAGTCTCACACGGAAACCGCTCGCAGGGATGGTGGGAGGCGGGTCGTTCCGAAGGCTGCGCGCCGTCCTGTGAGCACTTGTCTGGTCCGGTGCCGCCCTCGCCCGTCCTTTCCGCCGTGAAACGCACGCTCTCAGCTTCCCGTGCTCGCCCTCAGCCACCTTCCCGCTGGGCTGCAGGAGGACAGCGCTGCGGCCCTTTTCCGGCGGCCCCTCGGGCGGAAAGAGGACTCCGCTCGTGTTTATATCTGTGGCAGCTGCAGCCTCCTCGCGTGTCAAACCCAGAGCCCGGGAGGGAGGGCTCCTCCTCGCAGATGCCCCTCGGGATCGGACTCCCAGCACGGTCGCTCGGAACCCGAAGGAGCATTTCGAGAGGGGCCTGGTCTCGGGCCAGGGGTCTCCTCTCTCTCTGGCTTTGGTGTCACGCTCTGCCGTGGCCGAGGGTGGCTGGCTGAGCTCGCCCACCGGCCTGGCCTCTGGAGGTCTAGCGATCTGTCCGTCTGTCCGCTTGCTTTCCTGTGAGCATCCCTGAGGGTGTTAAAAAGGCTCCAGGTATCTGGGAGTTTGGACGGCCTCGTTGGGCAGGAATGACAGGTTTTTATGGTTTCCCGTGAATCCTGTGAAGAGCAGTCGCACCGGCAGTCCGGATGAGGGGACGTGATGCTGTTTGTTTGTTTTGCTCGGTTTCTGCAGGTGGTCAGTGTGGGGGAGGAAGAGATGTTAGAAATGTCACATATTTCTGTCTGAGTCACGTGACTTCTTTCGGAGGCCACCTGCCTGTCAGGAAGCCCGCCAGGTCGTGTGTGGGGTCACCATCCACCCTCTGAGCGTAGCTGGGACGCCTCTGGGTTTCCTCAGGCGAGGCTGTGGGCCTTCCGTGCAGTGACCATCCTCAGTCCACGTCGCCGTCCTCCTACAGGCCAGCCTCTGAATCTCTAGTGTCTGGCCTGGCGAAGGGGGTCATGGCCTGTGGTCCTTGAGGCCTGGCCATCGCATCAGGCACCTTACCCCCCCTTCCTGTAAGCACTGCACGGGAGTGGGGTGTTGGGGACCAGCCCAGTGGCCTCCTCATCCTTCTCCAGCCCCCGTTTCGCCTTCAGCACCTGGAAGAGGGTCACTGAGGAGGTGGAGCCTCTGGGGGGCGCTCTTCGCTCTAGCTGTGACTGCTCCGTGACTCCGTGCTGTGCTCCTCGGTGCTCTGATGGCGCTGAGCGTAGTGACAATGGATGAACATGGCGCAGACCCCATCCTTCCCTCAGCTTCAGGCACCGAGCGAATTCTCACTCGGCCTCTCGCCCTCTGAGGCGTCAGGGGCAGCGACAGTGGCCGGGGCGGGGTGCACAGTGCCCTGGCTCCTGGCCCCGAGCCTGCTGGCCTGGACTGGATCTGTCCCAAGGACCCCTTTCCCGCCCCCCATGCCCGGCTGCATGTCCGCTCGCAGGCTGGGGGACAGGGAAGGGGCTTCTAGAAGGAGCTGGCCGTGCTCAGCAGGGCAGCTCAGTGCCTTCCTGAAGAGCAGGCGGTTAGACTGGCCCAGCCACCGGACCCTTCATTCTCTCTGGAAACGGGCTGCAAGTTCATGTCCATGGCTCATTAACCTCTTTTCATAGGTAAACTCCAAAATATTGATTTTAGTTTATTTGTTTATTTATTTATTTATTTATTTATCTTTTGAGGATGAATCTGCATTTCTCAGCATTCTGTGTCCCAGTCTGTGTGACCCACGAGGAAAAGCCAGCTCAGTCTGGTATCTGTAGGAATGGGAGGAAGCTCACAGATCCTTGGGCGGAGTCTGTGCACCCGGGGTGATCGGACAGCAGGGTGGTTCCGTGCTCCCGCCAGCCTCTCTGCTGGGGGCGCTGTGGCAGGAAGGGAGGGTCCCACCGTCTTCGGGAGAGAACGTCAGCCTCCCGGCATGTGAATGCTCAGCAGAGAGGAATTCTTAATGGAAATCAATTTCGCTCCTCCCAAGAAGCCTTTAGCTTCTGGGAAAATCCAGACTGCATACTGCTGATGACTGACGTTATCTTTCCTTTCTCCCCCCCCTTCCCCCCCCTTCCCCCCTCCCGCCGGCAGCTGCCCGTACCTCGCCGTGAGAATCACCCCTGCCGTCCCCGCGGCCGGCGCCGTCCTGTTCTTCTTTGTGATGGGGACCCTGCTTCGCACCAGCTTCAGCGACCCCGGCGTCCTCCCCCGAGCCACACCCGACGAGGCCGCTGACCTGGAGAGGCAAATAGGTAACCTGCAGCCTGCCCTCCCCGGCCCTTCCCGCCCCGCTCAGCTCAGCCGCCTGCGCCTGCGAGGGCCGGGCGAGGCGGGGACAAGGCCCTGCGGGAGTCCCCGGAGCCTTCACGCACTGTCCACAGGAGGAGCTGAGTAGAAGGTGGGATGGAAGGAGGCCGGAGGTAAGACAGGACGGGTGCCCGTGCCCCTGCCCTGCAGCGGCTGGGGGTGCTGCTCACCCAGCATCGCCACTGGAATTATTTTTATCCCCACGGTCCTGAAGGTCCTCGGGCGGTGCCTGCGCTCCGTTCTCCTTTGTAGTCCCCGAAGCCTAACTCTGGTCCCTGGAAACTCTGGTTTCTCATAGAAACCTGGGAACTGAGACTAAACTGTAAACCAAACCTGAGCCTGCTGGCTCATTTCCCCGGCCGGGCACCAGCATCTTTCCTCCGTGAAGAGATAACACAGAGACGGGTTTGCGATCTGTGCATGGAGACGAGCAGCTTTAGTCTTCCTTAGATAATGTGATTCTATGATGAAAAGTTTACCGCAATCCACTCAAAAGCTATTAAAACAAATCCCAACCCCTCGCACAACTAACGTGTAAGGCCTTTTTTTCTATTAAATGGAGCTTTTTCTTGGAGTGTGCATTGGTGAACTTGTAGCTTGGAGGGCGTGGTGATAACTGGACAGGAGTGGCAGAGGGCGCAGAGGGCAGTGAGGGCTCTCAGAATGTCAGGTGGCGCATGGGAAACCACGGGCACACGTCCTCTCCCTGCCTCCCCCGCCCATGCCTGGGAGTCCGTGCCCGGCCCCACTCTGCTGAGAGATCCCATCGCCACAGGGAAATGGGCTCCAGGGCTGGGCCTCAGCAGAGAGCGTCTGCTCTGGCCTGCCATCCCAGGCACCGAGGCACCGCTGTGCCCTGCTCTGAGCTCCCGCCCCACCCTCGTCTCTGCCTCCCTGAGGAGAGCAGTGAGGGAGCTGACGGGGGAGTGCAGGGGAGCGTCAGTGGGAGGCAGCCTTCCTGTGTCCAGGCAGGGAGGGAGGGGAGGAAAATCCCTCCGTCTGCTGGGATAGACACCGCTTTCTCAGTCATTGCATCCGGGATTTCAAATCATTCATGCTTTAAGGCTTTGCATTCATAGCACATTAATCACTTATAAAGACTATCATTGAACTTGATCAGCTCCAAGCACGTTTGTCAGGGAGCAGCTAAATGGGAGAAAGTGGCGGAGCCAGAGCCTCGAGCCCAGGTTTCCTGGCCTCAGCCCTTGTGCTGCCCAGGTTGGCATGTCAGAGGGAGGGAGCTCAGGCCCGGTGCCCTCCGGGGACCATGACTAGCTGTAGGAACCGTCGTCTGCGCCACGTCACATGAGCACGCACCTACAACACGGGTGAACCTTACGACGTTATGCGAAGTGAAAGAGGCCCGATCAGAAGACTGTGTTGTATTTATATGATTCCATTTACATGAAACGTCCAGACAGGGCAGATCTTTAGACAGAGAAAGCAGGCTGATGGCCTGGGGGGAGGGAGTGGGGAGATGGAGGAATGAGGGTTGATGCACACAGACATGCCGGGACTGTGTGGAGTGATGAAAATGACCTGAAATTAGATTGCAGTGATGGTGGGGCAAGCGAATAGGTTCACTAAAACCATTCTACACGTTTGTAATGGATACTACACTCTCATAACCCCACTGTGACGGTGTGTAAGGCCTAATAGCACAGTCATCCGCCAGCGATGAAAGGGAAGAGGGAGGAGGCAGGTGGGCTCACCCCGGAGCTGTGTGACCCAGGCTGGTCCTCACCTCTGAGTGCCGTCCCTCCTGCGCTCATCCGCATGTGGGGACAGTGACACGCATTCTGTGGGTTCTGGTCAGGTTAGCTCAGAGAATGGTGGTACTTCTCTAAGAGAAATGGTCCTCTTTCCCCACCCAGTTCTCTCTTCACCTTCCACAGACATGGATTCTCCTAGAAAGTGACCCGCAATATGCTAGGAATGAGTGACAGCGCTGGGAGGGGGGGGGTCTGATCCTTCATAGCGAGTCCTCCCGGGTGCTTCTCGACTGTGGAAGATAACATTATGTTTCAGTGAAATCTGAGCACATTTATTTTGTGCTATCTAACTAAAAACATGAAAAAATGAGACTTAGAAACTCTTTATTATTAGGATTATTAATTCTAATTACTTGCAGTATCCCTCTACTTACAGAAGCCCGTAAGAGCATCTAATAGCGTGAGGCCAGCCCTCTGGGTAACTGTTAGGGTTTGCCGAGGAGGAGGCTGTGTGTCTGTGTTGACAAGTGTCTTGAAACGCCTTACACAGTATTCTTCTGAAAAGAACTTTCTGGTAACTGGCATGGCCACCAAACAGACGGCAAAGACGGCCAGAGTGGTCTGGCCGGGTCCCTGGAGTCCTGCCATTTCTTTGGTTCACTCGGACAGCCAGACACAGCGACTGCTTTGGGATCAGAGCGTTTTGTTCGATTCGGGATAGACCTCTGCAGGCAGAGGCACGTCCACAGGCGCCGGCCCTGTCTGTCCCGGCCCTCCACACTCAAAGCATGAAAGCCCGGACTCAGCCACGGGCTGACATGACCTCCCCAAACAAGGCTGGTTACTTGGGAAACGCTCCTGTGGCAGGAAACCCTGACACCAGGGAGCCGTCCTGCTTGTGAGGGTGGAACCGGACCAGGAAGGCTGGTGGCTTTAGAAAGCCGCCTGTGCTGCGGCAGAATCCCAACGACTGTTCGAGGGGCACTCCTGCCCCCTGGCCAGACAGCACTCCGAAGACACGGGGTGTGTGTGTGTGTGTGTGTGTGTGTGTGTGTGTCCGTCCCTCCTCTGCCTCTGTCTATCTCCATCTCTTGCCCTCCCTCTCTCTTTGTCCCTCTCTTCTTCCAACCCTCCCTCTTCTCCCCCTCCATCCTTACCCCTTCTCCCCCTCCTCTTCTTTCCCTCCTCCTTCTCTTTTCCTCCTCTTCCGTCTCCCTCTCTCATCCTCCCGCCCCCACTCTTTTGGTCAAATTCTCATACAGAATGTGTTCTTGTAGTGCACAGAGCCAGTCCCTGTTTCTAAGACTAACGCTTACCTCGCACTGGCTCCTACATCAGCCCTCAGAGGCCTCCCCAGAGGATAGGCTCTGAGGGGGCTGGGCGGCTCCGGGTGCTGGGGTGCCTGGCGGAGTCCCATGGGGACAGGATGGTGTCTCCACCCATTCCACCTGCTTGACTTTCCCCCCAAAGACGCTTCATGCTGGGCTTCACAGTAGAAACATTATAATTGCAATTTTAACAGCACTGACGGATTTCTGTTGAAGAAAACACTTCCTGAGAACACTCTGATGCCAACTTAAGACTGCAGTCAATTTTCTCTATTGCAAGACTAAACTGTTTTCAATTTTCCCCACGTACATTTTTATTTTACTAAAATTATTTTTATCGGAGTAATTTCTTTCTCTACATAAAATTTATAACCATTTTTTTAATATCACGAGCATTGGAATATGAATTTTCTTATAGAACTGTTATATCCACTAAGTCAAATTTTCCTGATGATTTAATTTTTCACAATGTACATTTTTTAAGCCATTATTGACTTCTTTTTTTTGTTAGTTATTCCTGCTGGTAGCATTCACCGTCAAGTTGCTTTAAATTCCTGTGTTTTCTTATTTCTTGCCTTGTGATTATTCTGCTGTCTGTGGCTGGTCTGCGGTTAAGTCTCCCACACGATTTGCGGGCACTGTGCGTACTGCACACTAGAGGCCCACACTTCTGAATGTGCTAGACAAAAACCAAAGGTGAAAGAAGGCAGCAGGCAGCAGGTGGTTCATTTGACCATTGCCAGTTTTCTTTTCGGAAGGTGGCATTTTCTGACTGTTTCCCCAATTCGTATTTGCACCCCCCAGCTCCCCTCCGGGTGCCACAGCTTGTCCTCTGTGGGATCCTCGTTGGCGGTGGTCGCTCCAGCGCCTCCGGCCATTCTGCAGGCAGGACCCGCCTCCTGCCCTGCTCTCTGCGCCCCCTCTTCCCAGACTCACCGTGACGCCGTTTCGTTAGCTTTGGGACAGCCCCTCCCATGCACCCGCTTCAGCATTGACCTGCGCCCCTAAAATGAACAACCCCGTGCTTGTCCTGCAAAGCAGGGGCTGAAAGGTAGAATCATGTTAGTAGCCAGTTCCCATCCAGTGCTTCTCCCGTGCCGGCAGCCGGCTGTATGTAAGCTCTTCCTGTGACAATCCCATCCCACACTCACACCTCCGCTCGCTGGTGCTGTCACTGTAAACACTCGAACTGCATTGATGAGAAGGCGGTGCTCAGGAGGAAAGGTGACTTCCCAGGTCCCTGGGCCAGGGCTGGGGGTTCCATGCAGGTCTGTGCCCTGAATCACAGCACGCACTGCCCACCAGCTAGTTGCCTTGGGGAGCCAGGCCCTGAGGGGCAGGTGGCACTCCCCAATGCCTGTAAGTTAGCGTCTGTCTCCATCACCAGCCCTCAACTCTCCTGTCCCGTCGGCTGCCTCTCCCGTCACATCCACGGAGGCTGAGGGCCTGTTCTCAAATCCTGGGCCGTGGGCAGGAAGGAAGACGTACAGGGAAGCTGCAGACCACCGGGCGCGCCTCGGCGCCGCCTGAAGATACAGGGGCCTCCCTGGTGATGTCGGACTCGTCTCCGGCATCCGGTTCCCCAGCTGCTGGTGAAGGAGCTGAGGAAAGTGGGCAGGGGGCGTCCCACCGTGTCCGAAATACCTTCTGGGAGAGGCCAAGGCCTTGGAAGCTGGCATTCCAGGAATAAGACAAGCAGCTCCCCTGTCTGTGGGAAACGGCTAGCACTGTGTCCTGTGCATGGATGGCCGGGAAGAGGAGGCGCGGTCCTCCCACACAAATGCAGGGTGGAGGCTCCGAAAGTCAGAAAGCCGCGCTGTCCCTTTAAAAACAAGCCCCGGCCGGGAGGGCTGGGAACCAGATGTCACCATCCAAAGTCCGGTGTTGGTGTTCGGGGAGGCACCG